GTATGTTTGTGAGAGGGTTTTCTCTCTCTCTCTCTCTCTCTCTCTCTCTCTCTCTCTCTCTCTCTCTCTCTCTCTCTCTCTCTCTCTCTCTCTCTCTCTCTCTCTCTCTCTCTCTCTCTCTCTCTCTCTCTCTCTCTCTCTCTCTCTCTCTCTCTCTCTCTCTCTCTCTCTCTCTCTCTCTCTCTCTCTCTCTCTCTCTCTCTCTCTCTCTCTCTCTCTCTCTCTCTTTCTCTCTCTCTCTCTTTCTCTCTCTCTCTCTTTCTCTCTCTCTCTCTCTCTCTCTCTATCTATCTATCTATCTATCTATCTATCTATCTCAATTTTCGTTGCCTTTCAATTGGTATAATTTGTGAGTTTGTAAGAGTGTTATTTATTTGTTTCTCTCTCTCTCTATCTCTCTCTGTCTCTCTTTGTCTGTCTGTCTGTCTCTCTCTCTCTCTATCTATCTATCTATCTATCTATCTATCTATTTATCTATCTATCTTTCTCTCTCAATTTTCGTTGCCTTTCAATTTGTATAATTTGTTGTGAATTACATTTTATTTTTTTATTGTTTGTGATTCCTTTCTTTCTTTCTTTCTTTCTTTCTTTCTTTCTTTCTTTGCTTAATTTTCGTTGTCTTTCAAATAGTATGATTTGTCTTAACTTACTTTTTATTTTTTGCTATTGTTTTTGTTGTTGTTATCTAATGTTGATATTCTTGTTGTTACTGATGTTTCTTTCCTTGATTGATGTTTAAATTGATTATCAATATGACGAATGTTTTGATAATGTATGTTTTGTCATTACTCTAACCTGTTGCTATCATTATCATCATTATTATCATTGTTATCACTTTTACTATCATCATATTAACATCATCGCCATCACCATCATAATCAAAATTATTTTAGTAATGATACTGTCGCTGTTCTTATGATAATAAATTTCATAATCATCATCATTATAACCATTTACCCTTTTCATCGTTATTATAATCATAATATTTTTTATCGTCGATTTTGAAATGTTATCATTGTTGTCATTATTACTGTCATTATAACCCATCATAACACGACTGCCACCAATTATTCTGTTTATACACGAAATGAGCCTCGATCTAACACTTATAATTATATATAAATGATTATTATAGTTATATGAAATGGAAATCCTCATTATCTTCCAAGACCCAAAATACGAAAACGGTTACCTTCTGATTTTCGTGGTTTAATTAAAGGTTTGTCACAGGCAGCCGTGAGAATTTCGTCAACATTTAATCGTCCTCCCAAATCGACTTTTTTTTTGTCTCTCAAGATATGGTGAGGGATTGGAAGGGAGGGGAGGGAGGGAGGGGGAAGGGAGGGAGGGGAGGGAGAGAGGGGAGGGAGGGGGAAGGGAGGGAGGGGAGGGAAGGGAGGGAGGGGAGGGAGGGGGAAGGGAGGGAGGGGAAGGGAGAGAGGGGAGGGAGGGGTAAGGGAGGGGAAGGAGGGAGGGGAGGGAGAGGGGGAGGGAGAGAGGGGAGGGGAGGGAAGAATAAGGAAGGGAGGGGTTAGAGGGGAGGGGAGGGAGGGGAGGGAGGGGAAGGGAGGGAGGGGAGGGAGAGAGGGGAGGGGAGGGAGAGAGGGGAGGGAGGGGAAGGGAGGGGAAGGAAGGGAGGGGAGGGAGAGGGGGAGGGAGAGAGGGGAGGGAGGGGAAGGAAGGGAGAGGAGGGAGACAGGGGAGGGAAGAATAAGGAAGGGAGGGGTTAGAGGGGAGGGGAGGGAGGGGAAGGGAGAGAGGGGAGGGAGGGAAGGGAGGGGAGGGAGAGAGGGGAGGAGGGGAAGGGAGGGAGGGGAGGGAGGGGTAAGGAAGGGAGGGGAGGGAGAGAGGGGAGGGAGGGGAAGGGAGGGAGGGGAGGGAGAGAGGGGAGGGAGGGGGAAGGGAGGGGAGGGGAGGGGAAGGGAGGGAGGGGAGGGAGGGGAAGGAAGGGAGGGGAGGGAGAGAGGGAGGGAGGGGAGGGAGGGGAGGGAAAGAGCGGAGGAAGGGAAGGGAGGGGAGGGAGAGAGGGGAGGGAGGGGTAAGGAAGAGAGGGGAGGGAGGAATAAGGAAGGGAGGGGTTAGAGGGGAGGGGAGGGAGGGGTAAGGAAGGGAGGGGAGGGAGGGGAGGGAAAGAGCGGAGGAAGGGAAGGGAGGGGAAAGAGTAGAAGGGAGAGAGGGGTGGGAGGGGAAGGAGGGTAGGGAGAGGAGGTAAGGTGAGGGAGGGGAATTAGAGGAGGGGTGAGAGGGGGAGGAGGGGGGAGGGGAGGGAAAGAGAGGAAAAGTTCAAAGGCAAATTCAAATTCATATAATTCATTAGATACAGTGGTTATCTTTTTTTTTTTTCATATAGATGCGTTCATAATTGCCATATCAAAGCTATATGTGATAAGTAGTAATATATAAATCATATAAAATTTTATAACTAAATGAATTTGATCTTTTAAAAAATATTCACATTACAGGGAACTGATACAGTATTTGGCTTTATTTTTAAATACCTGATTTTATTCAAAATCCAGCTGATTTTTCAATTTTGCTTTGAAAGTATTTTGGTTAAAGATGTTAATGCTATTTTGAGACAGATGGTTCCAAATTATGAATTTACAGTAATCTTGCCTTAACACTTGTTATGTTACCTATTGTTTGTATAGGAAACAGGCCAATCTTCCTGTATTAATTTGTTGAATGTGTTGATATATCAATATTGGACTTTCATTTCAGTTTGTTCTTACGAGAAGTTCTATATTTACGTTACTTCATGTCGCTCTGGTTGCATTTCTTTTTGCGTGTGTGTGTTTTCATATGTAAGTTTTTTCGGGTTGGTTCTGAATGTCTAAACGGTAGTTAGTAATGCTGTAATCCAAGGTCTGTATAGCGATTCTTGTGAGGGATTTTGTTATACATGTGGTTTATACAAGATAATATGCCTAAGATATTTTTATGTAGTCAACATGAGTCTTAAAAGCCGCATATCTGTTTATATATACTCCAGTTTTTTTGTTTCTCTCTTACTGTCTATATATACTAAAAAAAAATTGTCTCTTACTATCTATATATACTCCATTTTTTTTACCGATGTGTTTGGGTTGACATAAAAGCCTTCAGTTTTTATGATTGTGTCTGAATGGTTTTAAGCAATGCTCTAACGGTTACCTATAAAGATACATTGGTTTGAGGATTCATCAGTCTGATATCGGAATGCCACTGCTTCTGTGAGAGTATTTCTTATTAGTTACACACAGTAGCAGGGTGAAGAAACTGTGAGTCATCGCCGTGTTGAACAATAAGGCAGTTGTTTCCAAAAAGTCTTTAGATCATTAATGAATACTGAATATATAATCGGGACTAGGGTAGGGCCTTGCGGAACACCAAAAAAGGCTGGATGCTCTACTGATAAATTTTCATGAATTCTTTGCGTGGGTAAGTGACTTCGGAACCAAACGTTGTTAAGTTTTGTGATTTCTTAGTTTGATGTTCTCGAGAGCTTTAGACAAATCAGATAGGGTGAGTTAATTTATCTAGTCATTTCCGTCTTTTTTCAGATTTCATTTGTGATTATTATCAACATTGCGGAGCTTGATAACTTACTCCTAAATTCATGATGCGATCTCTATATAATGTTACTGGTTTCTGGAAATATATAATTTGTTTGTAAATATTTCTCTCGATAACTTTAGATATCATAGATGGTAGAGTTATAGGATAATATTTATCATTTCCCAATGATAAAGCCAATAGAATACAAGGTCTGTTCGATCTATATTTGCAGTAATTATCATCCTCTTTCATTCATGTTTTCATTCTTAAACACGTACTACCGAATGAAGATAGAATCTGCCCTTATGCTATTGAAATATTTTACGTCTATCCCCACCGACCTCACTGCAGCTGACGTCATCGCCTGCACGAACTAAAAAGGGAGGAAGAGCCTTACATGCCCTTGACCTTGTGGTTAGGAAAGCGCTAGCGTGGTGTCAGACGCAGGGTCGTGGGTTTCGAAGTGGGTAGCGACGAGGGAAAAGGGGCAGTCAGGGAGAAAAGGGCGTGGATAGTGTTATGGATATACGAATAAATGTGTGGATATTGTTATGGGTATACGAATAGAGGGTGTAATTAGGGACGTGGGGAGGAGAGGGGAGGGGGGAGTGCTTGTACGTATTCATGATTTTCGATGACAAAGGAAGAGGACATGCTGATTGTGAGAATAAGAAGGATTTGCAAGAGGATTTGGCTATTGTTATGGAAGCTCGGTCTCCGCATTCCTGTTTCCGTGAAGGCATAACGACGAGGCCAATCATTCTGTCGTTCGTAGACTGCAGTTTCGAGAACAGAACAATCAACGAGGCAATTTTTTTTTTTTTTTTTTTTTTGTTATCGATAAGGTTTTAGTTATTCCTAATGGGTTTGTGGGTCGTTATTTGTTTCTTTGTTTTCTTTTCTTTGTTTGTGATAGAATTTCACAAAGAAGTTCTTCCGGCTGTAGTGTTAAATTGTCTTCCATTGTTGTTGTAACCAACTGATTCTCATTGTTTATGAAATGATCAGTCGTTATGTCCAATGATATTTGTCCTCTTTTCTGTGCCACTAGCCATGCTTCTTACGTTTCCTAGAAGCTGATAAAGATAGAGAGGGAGAGAGAGACAGAGCCAGACAGAGCCAGAGAGAGACAGACAGACAGACAGACAGACAGAGACAGAGAGAGAGAGAGAGAAAGAAAGACACAGAGAGAGAGAGAGAAAGACAAAGAGAGAGAAAGAGAGAGAGAGAGGCAAGGTCAGAGGGAGAGAGAGAGAGAGAGAGAGAGAAAGACAGTGAGAGAGAGAGAAAGACAGAGAGAGAGAGAGAGAGAGAAAGACAGTGAGAGAGAGACAAAGACAGAAAGAGAGAAAGAGAGAGACAGAGAGAGAGAGAGACAGAGACAGAGAGAGTGAATCTGGCGAAAAAGGTTCAACTAAGATTTCCAACCGGAAGGTGGTCGATAGCGGTCTCACAAACCGCTT